TTGTAATGCTTTGATTGTTGGGATCCTGTGGGCCAGTATTCAACATATATGGAGCTTAGTTAATCCAATGATACATGTCTTGAACCATCATTGTCGGTCTGGATCACCAATCAATATATTGCACACACTACACTTAATGGGATGGAGACAATCAGAACATCCAATCATGCGGCCCACTATGACTTCAGAACAAAAATTCTTTGAGTAATCAGCAGAAAGATCAACTGTGAAGTGTAGAACTCAAGTTTCTCTCTAGAAATAAACCAAAGGTGCTTCTTCAAGGTCCTGTTGATTGGTGCCTCTGAGGTTACTGAAAAGTTTTGCCATGGATGTAGTCAAACTCCCCAACAGTGTTGCTATTGTTTTGAAGAACGACAGGATAATCCACAAAACCTTTGCAAAACAGGATCAGAATGGATGTTTTGAAGACTTTCCGGAATGTGTAGCCTGCATAATTAACTTGTAAACTGCCCAGAGAGTGCTTGAAGCACTATGGGGAGGTATAAAAGCAGCACGCTTTGCTTTTGCTTTGCTTTAAAAGTCACATGGGCAGTCTTGTGAGGCTCAACGGATTAGCAACATGTATTTATATTCCACTCAAATGGAGCTCACAACAGCTCTCTCCTTCTCATTTCATCCTCTCAGCAACAATGACAAGAAGAACAACAGCAACTTGAGAGGTGTGTCAGGCTGACAGACAGTTGTCAAATTCGAGTCACCCAATATGTTTCAATGAGACCTAAATGTGGTGCTTCCCAGTCCAGCATTCCCAGCCTCCATAAGATGCTGGCTATAGGCAGGCTTATACTGCAACCCTAATTAACCACCAGGCTTATGGCTGGTCGTTGCTTTAGCCCTTTGGGTTGGTGCTCAAAGCGAGAAAAAGGAACGAAGGTTATTTTCCTCCATGCACCCTGTCATCACCTCAACATTCACAAGTTACAGCATAAACCCACGGCTGAAGCATATGACATTCCACCCTCATCATTTCACGACTACAGCATGTAAGATGCTTTTTTCAGCTGCTCCTCAAAATTATGTCAAGGATGATCAGAAGAGTAGAAAATAACCAAAAGATGCTGAAAAACGTCCCTGTCCTCGCCGCCATTTTTCCACTTCATTTCCTGAACCAAATATTAAAAAGAAGTGAGGCAGGAATGATATGAGTGTGTTCCATCCATGAAAGTGTAACTAAGATTTATAATGTGTCTGACGCAACAGTATTTAGTATTCAACCCACCGTGTCTTAGTTCTTAGCTTCCTTGATGCGATTATGCTATGCTTGTTGTTGTTTAGTTGTTAAGTCGTGTCCGACTCTTCGTGATCCCATGGACCAGAGCACACCAGGCCCTCCTGTCTTCCACTGCCTCCCGGAGTTGTGTCAAATTCATATTGGTTGCTTCGGAGACGCTGTCCAGCCATCTCATCCTCTGTCATCCCCTTCTCCTCTTTCTGTCACACTTTTCTAACATCAGGATCTTTTCCAGGGAGTCTTCTCTTTTTATGAGATGGCCGAAGTACTGGAGCCTCAGCTTCAGGATCTGTCCTTCCAGTGAGCACTCAGGGTTGATTTCCTTTAGAATGGATCGGTTTGTTCTCCTTGCAGTCCAGGGGACTCTCAAGTGTCTCCTCCAGCACCACAATTCAAAAGCATCAATTCTTTGGCGGTCAGCTTTCTTTATGGTCCAGCTCTCACTTCAATACATCACTACAGGAAAAACCATAGCTTTGACTATTCGGACTTTTGTTGGCAAGGTGATGTCTCTTTTTAAGATGCTGTCGAGGTTTATCAGCGCTTTCCTCCCAAGAAGAAGGTGTCTTCTAATTTCGTGGCTGCTGTCACCATCTGCAGTGATCATGGAGCCCAAGAAAGTAAAATCGGTCACTACCTCCATATCTTCCCCTTCTATCTGCCAGGAGGTGGTGGGACCAGTGGCCATCATCATCATCATCATCATCATCATCATCATCATCATCTTCTTCTTCTTCTTCTTCTTCTTCTTCTTCTTCTTCTTCTTCTTGATGTTGATCTTCAGTCCATTTTTTGCTCTTCTTCTTCTTCTTTTGATGTTGAGCATCAGACCATTTTTTGCGCTCTACTCTTTCACCCTCATTTCAAGGTTCCTTAATTCCTCCTCACTTTCTGCCATCAGAGTGGTATCATCTGCATATCTGAGGCTGTTGATATTTCTTCTGGCAATCTTAATTCCAGCGTGGGATTCCATGGTATGCTACGTGCCATCAAATCAGAACAGACTTAAAACAACACTAATAGGACTTTTAAAGTAAGTGAGGAATTTAAGGAGTGCTTTTACTAGTTCTCATGAATTTTCATGGCCACACAGGGATTCAAACCCAGGTGTCTAGTCCAACACTCTGTCCATTACACCACACTGGGGATCATACTGATGTCATTACCCAAGACCATTTCTACTTGAATGTCAAGTTGAGACTTCAGATCTATGCATTCGGTGTTCCACCCACAGTAGCTACAATAACACTAAGGCAGGCATGCTGTTCATGAAGCACTTTCACCAGTGTATTGTGCAATTGATTGTGATGGGAACCACACAACTGATTGTGTGATTGAATCACACAGTCTACATTGGTTGGGCATAATGCTTTGCAAAGTTATACCTGTGTGACTTTATAAGACATGGTGATGAACTGGATCCTGGCTTATTATGGCCATGCAGGGATTCAAACCCAGGTCTCTAGTCCAACACTCTGTCCATTACACCGCACTGGGGATCATCCTGATGTCATTACCAAAGACCATTTCTACTTGAATGTCAAGTTCAGACTTCAGATCTATGCACTCGGTGTTCCACCCACAGAAGCTGCAATAACACTAAGGCAGGCGTGCTGTTCATGCAGCACTTTCATCAGTGTATTGCACAATTGATTGTGATGGGAACCACACAACCGATTGTGTGATTGAATCACACTGTCTACATTGGTTGGGCATAATGCTTTGCAAAGTTATACCTGTGTGACTTTATAAGACATGGTGATGAACTGGATCCTGGCTTATAACCAAGAAGTTATTCTAGGACAGTTGGGGTCTCCTCATGCCTTCCTCTAAGCAGGCGCCTGCTCAGTCAGTGACTTCAGTCCATAACTGGATTGTCTTACAATG